CGGCGCCCCCCCGCCGCCCCTGCCGCTTGGCTCCCGGTGCCCCTGGTCTGCTGGGGACCGTCTCCAGCAGACCAGGGACACCGAGAGCAAAGCCGGGGAGGCAGAGGGGTCCTGCGCCTCTGAGGCTTTGCTAGAGCAAAGCCTCAGAGGCGCGGCACCCCACTGCCGCTGCGGCTTTGCTCCCCGCGTCCCTGGTCTGCTGGGGGGGGACACAGCTAGTGCGCCTGCCCCCCCCAGCAGACCAGACTTTTGTTGTGGACCCTGGGGCAGAGCAGCTGGGGTGCTGCTGCTTGGCCTCTTAAGGGGGGGTTGTCTTATATGGCGAGTATAGGCGAAAACCTATGTTTTAACTAGAAAATTAGGGGGTTGTCTTATACGCCCAGTCACCTTATACGCCGGAAAATACGGTAATGCCATCTTAAACATTAAGGAGATTTAGATCAAGCTCAACTCTCAGGTCTGAATGTTCACAGCAGTATCTGAGCAGTAAAATGGGCCTGATTTCTTTAGAGCTTTACTTTGGTAAGCTGATTTCTCTCTTGTCTCTCTTATTTAGGAAGTCCAGGCTCTTTTAATGTCATGCCTTATATTCCCGCTGTGGGCCAGTGACATTTTTCTTTCTCCTTCTGTAGCTCCTCCTCCATGCTGGGTTGAACCAGTTAAGGATGTTATATATAGTTTAATCAACAAATGGATGGATTTTCCATCGACTAATCCAGGGTTTCCCAATCTATGGGTCAGGACCCAAATATGGGTCGCTATTACATTTCAAAAGGGTCACCACGTGTCTCCCCGGGTGGCTCTGCCCTCTCTCCTGCCCCCATTTTTGAACTGTCTTGGGTCACCAAGTCTTCCTGAATTGTCAAAATGGGTCCCCATCTGGAAAAGGTTGGGAATTGCTAGTCACTAGTCGATAAGCAGGGAAGCCAGCAGACTCTTAATACATTTAAAGGGGTAAAGCGCAGCAGTGGGGGCCCAGCACAAGCTGGGAATCATCTGGCTCAGCTCACACTGTGCTTCTGATTTTTAAGTGTATTAAGAGCTGGCAGACATTTAATACATTTAAAAAGCAGAGTTGCAGTGTCTGGGACTGGGTGCGAGTCGGGAATCAACTGATTCCCTGTTTGTGCCCGGTCCCCGCTACTCCCCTGTCCCCTGTGGAGATGATTCTGGGGAGAACCGGTTTTTATCTGGCTCCTTCCAGCACTGGTTCCAGCTCCCCCTCCCCTTGCTGCTTCTGCTAAAGTCAGCAAGGCGGAGGAGAGTGACTAGTTGAGGAACTAGTCAACAAGTCGCTTAAATCCCTAGAACCATTGCATCTTTCCTTTCCCACAAGCCAGGGAGAGGTCTGCTAAGGAATGCAATGTTACGGTGGGGTTAGCATGTGGAACCTAAGTTGCTGGGCCTCAGAGGAGGGGTGTGGGAGCATTCTGACATTGCAGGTGCTGGGAAAGAGGCCATGAGATGGAGAGGGGATGGCATGAAAGATATTGGAAGGGGAGGGTTGCTGAGACTTATCAACTCCTGACTGGGCTAATGCTTCAGTTTCTCAGGAGGGCTTGTTAAGGGCAAGAGGAACTGAATTAGCCAACTAGGAATGGAAACCCCACTCTTCTCTGGTCAGCAACCTGCCCCAGGTGTTGATTCAGGGCTAGTGTTTCTTTAGTATGTAAATTAGCCCACTTTGAGCCTGGCCTGCTGAAGTTAAAGCACATCAATCTTGTGTTTAAAAATTGATTCAGTAACATGGTTCCTGTCTTGTAGGAGCTCTGTGTATAACCATTTATGTGGTACAGGATTAATGGCTGGGCCTTGTTTGGGTCCTTGGGCTAGAGGTCATTGTTGGAGATTGAAAGGTTTCCTTCATGTAGAGCAGAGATGGGCAAAATGCAGCCCATGAGCTATATTCGCTCACCACAGCTCTCTGGGCTACCAATGTCCTGTGGCCCAGCAGGACCCTTGGGCAGGTTTCCTACCTGCTGCACCCCTGCATGTTGCTCAAAGTGGTCAGCTGCTAGAGCTGGCATGTGCGTCTGCACAATCCATACAGCTCCAATTAGCCAGAATTCCCTCTCCCACCCCCCAAGATGTGCACAGAGATGCACTGCTGGTCCCAGCAGTCGGCATGTGGGGACACAGCAGGCAGGGAGCCTACCTGAGAGTTCTGCTGGCCAGGAGCTACCTATGGTGAATGCTTCCTGGCCGTGGCCTGCACCTGGCACTCCAAAGCCCTCTGCACCCCTGCCCCTAGTCACAACTCCGTCCCAGGCACTACACCCCCCTCATACATCCCTCCCCCAGGTCAGAATCCTCTCCTGAACTCCTACCCCTTCCCAGATTCCCACATCCCCTCCTTTCACTCTAATCCCCACCCCTAACATGGAGCATGATTCCACTTGCTGCTCAGCCTCACTGTCTTGAATAGCAAGAGGATGGAGAGAGGTGAGGTTCTGTGATAGGTCAGTTCACCATCATAGCAGTGGTGTCAGCACTAATACTTTACAATTTTCCTTAAATGTCTGTTTTACTAGGTGGAAATCTGTGCAGCGCTGCAAACAGTGCTACAAAAGACAAGGGTGTATTTGCTAATGAAAAAGGAGACCTGTCAAAAGCTGGTGTAAAAGCTATAATACAATGGTGCGTCATCAATATGCTTTTTTTAAAGGTGGCTGTGGACAGAGGCTGGAGCTCAGTCTGAGCTTGAAAGCTCATTGGGAATTGGAGGATTTGGGTACCCAGCAATGGCAGCAGTTAATGCAAGGAAGATGAAATTTGCCCTCCTGAAAGGATCTTTCAGTGAACAGGGGATTAATGAATTTCTCAGGTACAAAATGCCTTTTTTTCTTAAGTTATTTAAACTGTTCATTTAAGTAAGTCTCTGGATCTATGGAAACAGAACACATACAGTGTTCATTGGCATGTCAGTGTAAATTTATTTGAGAGCTCTGGAAGTGAGATTACTAGTTGCTGTGAAGTTTTTGTTTTTTATGGTTTTGTTTTTTAACTAAATGCAGGGCTAGGGGGGAGTCTCTGGAAACATAAGACCCTGATCCTGCAGAGGATTTGCAGGATCAGACCGAGCCCTTAAACTGTAAGTTGCCAAATACTCAAAGTAGCTAACATGGCAGTAGTATCGGGGAGTGGGAGGGAGTAGGGATATGGAGCCTTTCCCAACTGTTTGACTCTAATAGACTGAGATTATGCAAATAGTTCAAGCCCAGTGCCAAGTTTTCCCTTTATTTGGTGTTTGAAGGTAGATCTGCATCACCATTCTTACTAAAATTTAGAAGTGCATGGTAAAGCAAAAACAGTACGGATTTCTGTGCTCCGTATGTCTCCGAGCTATCACTCTTCTTTCCTCCCCCTCCACCAGACTGTGAGAGTACTATGCATGGTAAGTTAGCAGTAGTTACCACTATCACTTCAGAAAAAGTTAGTATTGCACCTATGCCATGCTGGTTCACTGACTTCTCAGACAGGGACTTCACAAATTCTAGTCCATAGTACTTCACGTCGTGATGATGTACAGGCAGTCCCCGGGTTACGTACAAGATAGGGACTGTAGGTTTGTTCTTAAGTTGAATCTGTATGCAAGTCGGAACAGGCATCCAAATTCAGCTTTGCTGAAACTGACCAGCGGCTGACTTGGGGATGCCTGGGGCAGAGCAGCTTGGGTGCTGCTGGGTTGGTCCAGTAGCGCCGCTCCTCGGCGCTACTGGAGCAACCCAGCAGCACCCAAGCTGCTCTGCCCCAGGCGTCCTGATTCAGCCGCTGCTGAAACTGACCAGCAGTGGCTGAATCTCGACGCCTGGGGCAGAACAGCTGGGGTGCTGCCGGGTTGGTCCAGTAGCGCCGCTCCTCGGCGCTACTGGAGCAACCCAGCAGCACCCAAGCTGCTCTGCCCCAGGCGTCCTGATTCAGCCGCTGCTGAAACTGACCAGCAGTGGCTGAATCTCGACGCCTGGGGCAGAACAGCTGGGGTGCTGCCGGGTTGGTCCAGTAGCGCCGCTCCTCGGCGCTACTGGAGCAACCCAGCAGCACCCAAGCTGCTCTGCCCCAGGCGTCCTGATTCAGCCGCTGCTGAAACTGACCAGCAGTGGCTGAATCTCGACGCCTGGGGCAGAACAGCTGGGGTGCTGCCGGGTTGGTCCAGTAGCGCCGCTCCTCGGCGCTACTGGAGCAACCCAGCAGCACCCAAGCTGCTCTGCCCCAGGCGTCCTGATTCAGCCGCTGCTGAAACTGACCAGCAGTGGCTGAATCTCGACGCCTGGGGCAGAACAGCTGGGGTGCTGCCGGGTTGGTCCAGTAGCGCCCAGAGCGGCGCTACAGGACCAACCGGCAGCGCCCCAGCTGCTGTACCACAGGTGTCCGGAGCAAAGCCTCTGAGGACGCCGGCAGCGGACAGCCCAGACGCGCCGTGGCTGTCCTGCTGCCCATGTGCTCTGCAGCTTTGCTCCCTGGTCTGCTGGTCTCCCCCATTCGTAACTCGGGGACTGCCTGTATTTTGGGTTACTTAAGTAAATCAGGAAGTACCACGACCTTTACCAGTATGAGTCCATGGGTTGAGAGCAGTTGAGTAAAGAGATTTGTTGACATTACTTTTTTTTCAATATCAAGAAATGTTCACATGTAGATGATGATTAGCACTACTAAGAGAAATGTCTCATTTCTCACAACTTAGTAAGTCCTTGTAAGTTTTAAAGTAACTGTAGTGAGACTGCTTCACGTTCTGTGATAGTGATGCCAGAGAAGAGACTTCCTAGGGCAAATGTCCCACAGTATCCACCATACTGATGGGCTGTATAATAAAAGATTGGTGTTACCTTACCAAAGAGCAGGACCTGCAAAGCAGAAGATAACATTAACACTTTAGCTTGGGTGTGCTGCGTATAGGGAAAACAGTACCGTCACACTAGCTGTAGCTAAGGATGTTAAATTGCATTTAACTGCTAATCAAGTAGTCTGGTCACTAAGAGGGGAAACTGCAGCTGCAGCAGGGTTAACTGCATGGGGCTGGGAGCTAATTGCACCTCAGCTCTGCCTTTTAAATGTAGTTGGGATGTAATCGACTAGTCAACTATCCAGTAAGCTTTCGCTTATCAGATAGTTGACACGCTAGTCAACTAGGATGTTAAATTGCATTTAACTGCTAATCAAGTAGTCTGGTCACTAAGAGGGGAAACTGCAGCTGCAGCAGGGTTAACTGCATGGGGCTGGGAGCTAATTGCACCTCAGCTCTGCCTTTTAAATGTAGTTGGGATGTAATCGACTAGTCAACTATCCAGTAAGCTTTCGCTTATCAGATAGTTGACACGCTAGTCAACTA